CAGGCGTCCTCGGCTCATCCGCACTTGGACTAGGACTATTAGAAAACAAACCCCCCTCAGGACTCTGCTCAAGCACATACGCCGTGTCGCCAATAGGCAGGCCATGTTGAAGAGGTTGCGATAGGGAGTGTGCGGACATGGTGCGCGATAGATCGTGGTGGTGTTGCGACATGGGACTACCCAGGTAGGAGCGTGTGGGTGGGGAGAAGAGATCGAGATGGGCGTGGTGATGAGGACCAAGGACGTTGGCGCTGGGGTTATTGAGGGTGAAGTCATCGGTTCGAGAAGAAGAAGACGACGGGTAGCCAAAGTCCACGTCGCTTCCGTAGTACGGGCTCGGAGGGTAGGCGTCTGCTGGTACGCTGCGATAATGCGGGTCGAAAGCCGCGGGTACTGATCGAGACATGTACTGATCGTTGCCATTGCGATATCCGTCGTGCATTCTGCCACTCCGTTTCATCCTTGCGGAGCGACGTGCAGCTTGACCGCCCTTAGCGCCGGAGGCTTGTCGCTGGGGCTGTGGTTGCTGGGTCCGGTGGCCACGCTTGTTGGGCTGCTTACTGCGGTAGCGCGTTGTGGATTTGACGCCTTCGCGGATAGCTTCGTCGGTCAGGCGCCACATGAAGCCTTTGCGGGACTCTTCGCCTGGTTGGTCGACTTTCACGAAGGCCTGGGCAGATTAGTATGTACGAGAGAAGAGAGGTAGAACGGTGGAGAAAGAGGAGACATGACTTACCCCATTCATTGACAGATTGTGTCGGATGCTGTTCTGCCAGCCTTTCGTTTCCGAGGCACTGGCCTTGTCGGTGTTGGCCTTGAACCATTCGTAGATATCCCGGAGAATCATTGTATTGTTGGGCGCGTTGAGGAGGGCTTGGTAGATCAGCTGCGCGTAGGGCTGCTCTTTGTCGATGACACCATCTCCAGAGAGATCGTGGGGATGTCGAGGGGGATCGTCATGAGGAGTGGACGCGCGGGTCAGGTCGGAGTACGGGCTTTGGTAGCCATTGGAATCCTCAACCTTCATGTGCGCACCGTATGGAGGAAGGTCGAAGTCGTTGCTTAGCTGCATGAGCTGGCCGCTGATCTCATGGTCCGACAAGTCCATAGCGTCAAGGTGGTTCGGCGGTTCGATGTGGTATGCTGTGGGTGGATGCGAGTCGGTCATACTGATATCGGCAGGAAGGCCAGAGAGGTCGACCCCGGTGTAGGATCGGGGGCAGCTTGCGTTGGAATACTGAGTCGGGTACGCGATAGTGAAGTTGTCGTTGTAGGACATTCCGTTCTCGGCGTAGTTGTAGAAGTCTCCAGTTCCAGGTGGAAACGGGTTAGACGCATTGTAACCCGCGCCATTCTGGGTCATGGAGCTGAGGAGGAAGTTGGTCGGTGCAGCCCACTGCATTGGCTCTTGTTCGTCGAGGCTCATGGCAGAGTGCGGGGTAGTGTCGTTGTTGGAAGGTGCAGGTCCCTGATCGGAAGGTGCGGTGATCGAGACCTCAATAGGCAGCCTGGGGGAAAGAGACAACACCGGGTTATGGGTGTGAAAGGGAAGCGGGGCACAAAAAGCGTCTTTGGAGGGCTGGAAGGGTTCACAAAAGGCGTCTTGAGATGACTGGACGTTGTCGAATTCAGCACCCACGTCTGCGGAGGAAGGCCGATGAGGTGATTGCGCATGTGGCATAGCTGTTGTGTTGTCGGCCTCCCACGGGCCTGGATGGTAGAGATAAGGAACGTATCGATACGAATACGCCAACGTGTTGTGTGAAACCAAAAGACTGGCAGATAATGAGAGTAGTAAAAGGCGATGCTCACAAATGAAGCGGCAGTCAAGACGTTAACATGCTCCGCCATGCCCCGGCGAATGGGATTGCCTGGAAACCTGGTCATTGTCACCTAGACGATTCTTGCGCGGGTTCCTACTGCCAGCACACCTGCAGGCTTGACGCTGCAGCGTCGCTTGTATGGACAAACAAAGGATGAGATCTCATCGCAAGGACGGCGGATCTGAGGACCCTGGCCGCAGGCGCAGCTGCAGACGTGATGTCACGGAGCGACAAGTACCGATACAGCATCACCGCCCCACGGCCCGAGACGCAGCCCAGAGACCCTCATTGCACTACTCCATCAACCAGTGTGAATGACTCTCTGTACCACCACTGCAGCCAAAGATTGCCTGCTTGACACCGGCATACGGGAAGGCGCATTCGTCCACTTATAACGTCGAAAGCGCATACAGGGTGGCCCACTTGTAACATCGAAACGTCCATCGGCCTGCACGGCAGTCTCCCGCTCTTCGATGTTCCTGTCCGGCTTCTGTGCAAGTCCTGGAAACTGTCCGAGAGCAAGGGGCAAGATGTTGTTCATTGTAGTTGTCAGTACACGCGTCGGGGCTATTCTTCCACGCTATAACAATCATCCTGACATAGGTGACTTCCTTCAAGGACCTGTATTCCTTGTCTGCAAACTCTATCCCAAAAAGGTCATTAACGGCATATGTTCTGCAGGCGCAGGGATGTGACATGATGTGCTGCGCCTGCAAAGATGCAGTAGGCGAGCAACCGTTTGGGAGCAGACCCCACACAGGCCTGTAACACGACTTCTACCATTTTCCTTCCGGTGAAGCTGATTCGTAGTCCTTGCCCAAGCAATAGTCATCCGTGATAGACCCTCGTCACGGCCCTGTCACCGCTCGAAGAGGAGTGTACACCGCCAACGGACCCGGAGGCGGAGATGCTGCACGTTGCGAGGATATGAGAGCCGGTAGAAACGTCACCGCCGATGTGGTGGTCACGGGTGATGGCGCAACGAGAGAAGCCTGGATTTGATACTCAAGAAGCACCTATCGATGAAGAGGGTCCTGTGCAACGTCCGCCCTATTTCTTATCCTATCGCGCCGTTTGGTGCAAGAGGGGCCAGGTACAGCGGAGTAGGCTGTGAAGCGTCCATGTCACCCAAAGGGGGCTTAGCTACTTTCGATAGTATATCTGCCACGATGTTAGTGTGATGCCAGTGTGATGCCGTTCTGGTCATGCGATCTTGACATACCTTCTTGAATTGGAAGTGGAGTTGCAAGATGCCCTGCATTGCGTTAGCCACGTAGCTAGTACAGTGAGTATGACTGGACGTACCTTGTCAAAGCTGCTCTTGAACCCACGTTCTCTCTTGGCGCTGTAGTCCCATTCCTTGTCGATGATGCGGAAGGCAATATCCTCATAGGGCGGGCCGGCAATGAACCGGATGAGGCACGTGTCGTCTTCACCGGCCGGAGCGAAGGACTGGCCCTTTTTGCGGCCGTTCTCCCGTTCGATCTTGTAGGTGGGTGCTTTTGATTTGTCGATGAGGTCGGGGTAGAAGATGTTGAACTTGTAGCCCTGTACGACCTTTGGTGGGGGATTGTCGTGATCGTAGTGCGTTTGGTTGTACTTGTTCCATTCATAGCCCATCTGAACACGGTTGAAGTAGCGGGGTTTCCTGGGCTTGTAGCTACCAGCCCATTGGGGCCGCGCGGTCGTGACTTCCTCCTCCGCGGTAAAGATTTCCTCGCCTTCCTCTACGCCTCGCGCGACTTCCCTCTCGTATAGCGCCATGGTTGCCTTGGAGTAGTCTTCTTTCTCGACCGGCGCAAATCGTGAGGCGCTCGTCGTTACCGTCTGGCTCGTCATGGGCTGACTGCTGGTGGTGGTTGGGTCGCTGGATTTGGCCTGTGACGGCACATAGCCAATCTTCTTGATCTTTCCCCTTTCGGTGGCCAGACCCTCCAGGAACGCTTTCTCATCCGTCTGTGGTAGCGCCTTGTCTTCGGCGCGCAACTTCAGTAGGGGTTGGGGATCGAAGGCTGCATCGTATTCGACAGTCGTTGGCTGCGCCTCGCTCGCCTCATCGGTGCCGTTGAGCATAGCGTATATCCTGTTCTGGACAGATGCAGCTGCGTCAGCCTGCTGCTTGCGCAATGTCTGCAGTCGCTCGCGGACAATCTCCTGCGAGACGCGCCGCAGCTTCGCCTTGGCCTTCCACACGCGAAGACTCCGCAGCAGCTGTTCCCAGTAGTCGTAGTCGATTGGCTCATCCGAATCGAGCTTCTTCTTGACCTGCACCTCTAGCGTCTCCAGCTGCTCGAACGTCTTGGGGGAGAGCAGCTGATCGATGTCGGCGGCGACGGAGCTGGTGCCGCGGGCTTCGGACTTGGAGGATTTGGATTTGCGGCGGATGTCTTTGCAGATTGCTTTGAGGGACTGAGGGGTTAGCAGCGTATAATATCGCGACGTGTATTGTACCTACATTCCAGTAGTCGCGATTACTCCTGCTCGTTTCGAGGGACAGGTAGTTCTCAATCTCCTTTTCCAGCTCTGCGAGATCTTCATTGTTGAGCCCCTCCAGCACACCTTCCGGATCGACTATGTCTAGCTCGTGATCTTCCACCTCCTCGTCCAGCATCGACTTCTCCGTGGGATCAATGAAGCGCAGCGTGACGGCCAGCCAGTCGATGGGTCTCGCGCGCCCGCCCTTGACGCGTAGTGCCGCCTTCTTCTTGGCCTGCTGCAGCACGAAGCGGTCCTCGTCTGCCACCCACGCCTCCTCTGCCGCGTTTGTCGACCGTTTCGCAGGGTTGTCGTGTGCTCGTGAGTCGGCTGACCGCTTCGCTGGAATTGACGAAGACGGCGCGTTGCGCTGGGGAAGGCGATTGCGCTCGTTGCGCCAGGGAGGTTCACGTGACGACATACTTCACAATAGGCCGGATTTGTAGTATGGAGATGTGTTGTTGAGGTTTGGTCTGGCCGGCGCAGATCGCGAAATCTTTGGCCGAGGCTGGTGACGTACGGCTGCCTTCCGCGCGCGCAGGGATCTACTCCCGATTAGGAACAGTCTTGGCGCGGTTGCCTTGCACCTGCGCCTCAGCTACGCTTCACGTGCCAGCTCAAACCCCACAAAGGTCGCGTGTGTCACGCGTCTGCGCTCATCTGCAAACATGCACTCTATCACTTCGTTCTCTCCAGGTTGAGATGTCGTGTTGGCGCGAGCTGGAGCTTTCTGAGCAGCCCGACGGCAAGCAGATTCCCCAGCTACTCATCAAACCCGCCTTCGACCTGGACTCGTACACAGTTCATCTTACCGATCTCAGCAACATCTGGAGCGAAGAGCTGAACGTGGACGACATCGTCAAGCGGGCTGCGTTGGAACAATCGCCAATCGAAGTCAGCAAACACGACGCGGCGCAGGTTGCCATCCTTCTCGAGAATGTCAAGAAGCCCCTGCTGAGTGCGGAGGGTTCAATGTGTCGTGTCGCTCGTGATGGAACAGATGGCATCACTCTACACACCAGCATAGGCCTTCCAGAGCCTCTTGGTCGCTTGACATGGAAATTTCGCTTGGAGAAGCGAACGTCTGCCGACCTCAAGGACGAGCTCATCTTGCCGCTACTTGTCTCTTCCCACATTCAGAATGAACGCATTACCGGGCTCATCTCGACAATCGCCGCCAAAGACAAGGCAATCACTCGACTTGTGGACCAGTTCGACTCTCATGGCTTGGACTTGGCTGCCGCATTCCCTAGCGCCGGTGGAACGAAGGCGGGACGAAGGAAAGTCAAACGTGAACAAGCGGAAAAGCACGTTCCCGCTTTACGGTCTTTCCACGAGGAAGCATGGCGGCAGGATACCGAGCAATTGAAAGACACAAACCTGACGACGCTAGGCTTGTTCCAGGAAGCACTAGCACAGAGCACTCCGATAGTACCTTCGGAGTTGAAGTCGGGTGATTTTGAGACTACATGGTGGACTGCTGTACCTACTAAGTTGAGCATGCCGAAAGCCCCAGTCAAAACCAAGGCCAAAACGCCTCCTGTGGCATCAAAGCCAGCAAAAACAGCTACGGATTCTGGTGATGAAACAGAAGAAGAGTTTGAGACTCATGTGAACTTCAAAGTAAGGGTGTGGAGCATTACTGTCCGCGCAATGACTAAGACTTTCAGACACGCGAACTCGGCAAAAGGCCAACACAGACTCCGGCGCCATTACCATCGTCGCCCCTCGACAAGGCCAGTGAGACGGAAGACGACAGTACTGAAGACGATGAGGATCTGGATGCGCCTCCCAAGAGTCAGAGCCAGAGTCTAAGTCGGACCCCACAAAAGCCAACTCGGAAAAGGACGCCCACGCCGGAACCCCGTTCCTCGCCAAAAGTGCCTACACCCACAGCGCAGAAGCCAAAGGTAAGTAGCTTTCGAACAAGTGGGAAGTCGAAAAGAGCAACCGAGTCTCCTCCGCCATCGCCACCAAAATCCGCGGATGTAGAGCCGGAACCAGAGATCCGACCAACCAGGGAGTCTGTGCCACCTTCCCAGCCCAGCCAAGCGACAACGCCAAAGAAGACACGAAAGCCGTTCAGGATTGGTGGTAAGGGCAAGAAAGCCGAGGATGGTGCTTCGCAACGTGATATGACAGCTTCACCAAGTACCCAACGCTTCAGAGCAACGCAATCTCCTACTGCCGAGCCTCCATCGTCTCCGCCGAGAATGAAGGAGATGACGCCCGTCGAGGAGGTTCACGAAGAGACACCTGAGGAGAAAGCAGAGCGGAAGCGCGCTGAGTTGAAGCGGAAGAACGAAGAGGCAGCGAAGAAGCAGGCACATGCAAAGAAAAAGAAGAGGTTCTAAACAGAGCCTTTACTTATACTACGACCCTCAAGAATGTCTCCCAATCTATTCGTTAGGGTAATCATGAGGGTCGAGGATTGCGGGGCTGGATCTCTCTTTGACATCGTTGATATCCCATGACTACTCATACGCTTGTTCAACTCGTCATTGTTTTCACTGCTACGTCTCACATGGACAGGAAACCGTAAAGTATGCACTTGATCTAATCCCGCACGCGTGGCATTACGCGGCAAACAATATGCCTAGTCTACTACAATGTGCTCGAGGTAGGGCGGATTCCACGTTCCTGATTGAAGTCCACCTTCACCTGCGATCGCGCGCTCCTTCCGCGTCCGTCACCTCCGTTTGTTTACCTCGCGCCTGCTAGTCGCGCACCACGCCCAACACCGCGCTCTCTCCCACCTCCCCTCCTCCTTCCCTCTACACATCTTTTGGACAGTCGACGTCGACCCTTCCTGCTGGTTGTGGTTGACAACCGCTACCCGTCATCATGTGTTTATATCATTACTCTTACGTCGCGGTCTGTGACCACGCCGAGTTCACCAGAATATCCTACTGCAGCAACGCGATAACACTTGGTTTGCCTAGAACGTAAGCACTCCATTCTCCAGCACTATCATATCCTTGCTAATAGTCGCAGCGTCAGTCATTTGCCAGACGACCCCAGTGCAGACGGCAACCCCGACACTCAGTCTGGCTCATCTACTCCTCGACCAGCATCATCCGCCAACAACAGTAGTTCATCGCATTCGCAGTCGCATTCGCATACTCAGCAGCAGTTCCAGTCACAGCATAGCAACAACATGTCCACTCTCACGCCGTCTGAGGCTGGCCGCGCACCGGCTTGGGACGCCATCGTCCAGGAGCGAGATGCACAGGTTCATCATCAGACTGCCTTCATCCCACGCTCTGCCCTTGCCGACGGATCTCGTACAAGGCGAGCAAATACTCTCAACGACGCTAGACCTGTATTGGATACACCTGGTTACAGCAACGTCAACATTGATATCCCATTGGATCCGCAGTCTTCATTGTATATGGAAGTCACTCACGATGGTATGGTTACCGAGCTCGTCGCTCGATTTGAGTCTTATGGCGCTTACTCTGACGTCTGCGAAGTATCCCCCGACGAGCCTATCGAGTCACCTTCCGGCATCGACAACGCCGCTGCACATCAGGAGCAAGTCGAGCAGCAGTACGACGCCTATACCATCGGTACATCAGGGCGCAGTCCCCGCAAATCCATACCCACTCAATGGCTTACAAAGAGTACCGCTCCTAACCTCGCAACGGCGCAGCGTGCAAAGGCGCGAACATCCAAGACAGCATGGGACAGTGACTCTCCGGATGATGTCAAGACACTGCGTGGAACGCGCAGTTCCGTCGATCTCAGTAGAGCTCATGGCAAGGACAGCGCAACGTTTCTTACAAAGGAAGCCCTAGCTACTGTCGAGAACACCATAGCATCGCCCGCGTCTCCGCTTAGCCCCAGCAGACTGCATGGCTCTCCAACGAAGCGGCCATGGAACAGCCCCACCGGGTCACCTCTACGCAGCAGCGCGCGTCACCAGTCAAGCTTCTCCCTCCGCATGTCGCCGACAAAGTCAACACACCTCAATACCGACTCGATTTCTGCAGGACACTCGCGAGCATCTAGCAGCGTTGCGACTTCCACTGGCAGGGCTTCGTTTCACACTGCACAAGGGTCGCCAGTAAGGAGTCCTGCAAGCACGGAGCATAGCTTCCAATCTGCTGCAGAGAACCCTGAAGACCTTGACGTCCCCAGTGTCGACTTTTATGCTGACAGCGATGATGAGCAGGTGCAGCACGAGTCCGGTAGTCCGCGATCTGCCACCGCGAGAACGAACGCTGAAGGAAAGCGAAAGTCATTGACACCGAGGCCTTCGCTTGTCATTTCTACGCCTGGCCGTGACAATCATGAAGGTTCCATGGACTCCCGCGTTGCCGGCGGTCCGCTGAGTCCGGAATCGCCCACCCAGGTGTCTCGCATTCCTCGAGCCGGCACCAGCAGCAAGACCGCGCCCCCCGTACGCACCATCAAGCGCGTCGAATCTGTCAAGTCATTGCAGAAGAAGATCAAGGAGCTGCAGCTAGCTATGCAGATGGATGCAGCCCACTTAGATGCTATCCAGATCCCCCTACCCGCGACGCCCGCGCCGGCCCCTCTACGCCATGTCCGCACCGTCGACAGCACTGGTTCGACTCCGATCATTTCGCGAAGTTCTGGGTCACACAAACGTGATGGAATGGCTGATGTTGCTTCTGAAGATGACCGAAAACAGTCTACCCGCGGCAAAGGTCCTGCCATTCCTGCGGATGACGCCAGCCCAGACCAGCCAGACGACGCACCGGACTGTGATGCTAGCTACGAGCACGCTCAAACGTTCAAGGTCGATCAAGAGGCAGCGCATAACGTCGCACAACCCAAGAACGTGCCATGGGGTGTTCCGACAAGTCTTGCTCATGGTACGACGCTCACACGTCCTATCAGCGTACCCGCGATCGTCGTCATGATGGCTCACAATTTGGACATAGGGAACCTGAACCTCAACACCCAACAACACGAGGCTGCTTCCGAGTCCACGAACCACGTCAATGACGTCGAGAACGCGTCTTCATCCAGAGGAAGGAGTGAACGGTATGTACCCAGTGATCGTAATCAAGCAGACAGCGGGCGTTCATCGCAATCTAGTATGGGCTCGGACCTTCGCGCAACTGCTACGGAATTCGTACCTCAGCCTCCGACCACGACCAGTCCGATCGACGCTACCATGGAGAACACACCTCTCAGTCAATCTCTCGACATAGCCGACCTGCCGGATGCGACGGTGCTCGATAGAAACGGCGTACCTTTCCTTTGGTACATGTACGGCGTACAGTTTGCTTACGAACAGGGTTACCGCAACGGTCGTCCAAAGTCGCCCAAGAAGTACAAGGCGAGCAAGAACCAGCGCAAGTCTATCTCCTCTCCAGCCGATGCTGCGCCTCATGCCTCAAAGGCCGTCCCCATCAACAACCCCGGACTAGCGACTCCTCTTTCGGCCGCAGCGAAGCAGCGTATGACATCCGCAGAGCTGATACCGCCTCCGCCGCTCCCTACTAGACCACGTCAGGAGGAGACTCACCAAGAAAACTACCATCCCAGTTCTCATCGTATGATGTCACCGCCGCAGGTACTCGAGCCTGTTCCAAACCAGCCTTTCGCACACCAGCTTAGTTTGATCGAACAGACCGCCAACAGCAACCGCGCCAACAGCAACGCTCCCCGTCATTTTGGTGTTAACCCACAACCCTGGGCTGGTTTCCCATCTGGCCCTCGCAACGCGCATCCTCCCACGTACTACACAGTACCCCGCCATGGTCACCGCAACAACCGTGGCAATGGCCTGTACGGCGGTCGCGGCAACGCTGCCGGTGTCCCCATCGATGCTACCGCCCCGTTCCCCAACCCCACCGCACCACAGGGCCGACCTGACCAACGCCAGACCTACGAGCCGGCAGCCGTTGATTACTCAGACTACACTATCGGAAAAGAATCTTGCGGTCTGGTCAACATCACTGTTGCGACAGAGCGTGCTGGTGGCGAGCCATGTAATGCATGTGCTCCCGACCATTGAGCGATTGGTGGTCTTTCGCAGGTAAATTGGATAAGAAGAGATTGATTGAGGAAGTGAATATGGGAGGATAACATGGCTTGGACAGAGAAGGCTATTGGTATCGTACTGGATACGTCATTGAGATTGCACATGGCATACGAAGCATGTCTTACCAGGGAACGAACAGGATCGATGGATGGGATTGCTTGAGTAGTAGTTGATAACGAGGAATGAATAAAATGTATATGATCATGACTGTTCGGTGAGGAAGCCAAGAGGAAGGGTGAGCCTTGCTGTTCATCTCGACATTCGCGTGTTGTCAATGAAGGTGATATGGCCTTTCTTTCATCCGGATGCGGACACTAAAGACAACCTGAGAGGCGCCACACTGCGCGTTACCGGCCTCCCCATCGTGATGTTCGGAGATACAGCACACCCATGATGTATTACACTCACAATAAGCTACCTTTCTATTCCTTCGAGACACTCGACAGCGACATCACTCCATAATGCTTGTCTCTCTCATTTCCCTCCTCGTAATCTCCTCACGGCAACGACAAGCCTCCGCAATCCAGTTATCCGACCTATCTTCATGCGCTGTAAGCCTTCCTTCTTTCCCCAGCAACCCCCGACCGCGCCCTCACTCACTTACCCCCATCACAGCAAAAATGCGTCATAAAAACCACCACCTTCCACGGGTCCAACAACGAATTCTGCGATCTCTATGCACCCATGAACCCCGCGTGTACCTGCTACCGTCGCAATAGGTCCGTTGCTGGCCTGGGCGTCTGCAGCGATGTGGAAGCGGGTAGGGATGTGGTGGATGAGGCTAAAGACTTCGAGGACGCGGAGGATTATGTGGAGGGGCTGTGTGGGAGTGGGACTGTGAGGGGTCGTAATGGCCGTGATCGTGTTGATTCGGGTGAGGATATTTCCGTTTCGTCGACGGCATTAGCTGGGGAAACCGCGATGTTGGAGACGACAAGTACGAGCGGGCACGATTCTGAGTGGGTGGCCGAGGAGACTATGACTATGAATACGTCGCTACAACCTACGCCTGCGTCTTCAGATTCAAATAACTCGGCGGTATCTTCGCGTACTGGGAGCGAGGCTTCTGAAGCCACTACCGAGGCAGGCAGTCAGAGTAGAGCGCATAATTCTGCTCTTGCAAGCACCAGTGAGACAAATGTTGCGCCGACTTCTTCAGCACTGCCGACACAAACACGAACATCCGCCCGGCGCCTGTCTCCCAGCGCCAAAATCGCTTTAGCAGCAGGCATACCCTGTGGCGCGCTGTTTTTGGTACTTTTTTGCGCAGGCGTGCGCCTGGTTTCCAAGCGGAGGAAAGTCACAGAAGTCAATGAGATCACGCGCAGCCAAACACGGGCAAACAAGGACAGAGCGATGGGCCTCGAACGTGAGCTTGACGGGTTTGATACGTCAAGGCACGAAATGGAGACGAATGGCAATAGGGCTGAGCTCCATGTCGCAGTCGAGAGACATGAGATGGGAACAAATGGCAACAGGATAGAGTTACAAGTCGCAGTTGAGAGACATGAGATGGAGACGCATGCTAATAGGGCGGAGTTACATGGCGCAGTCGAGCGTTACGAGTTGGAAGGACGGGAATGGTTGAAAGATGGTTGATGGGCTGGTGACGTTGTGCACCTAGGCTCGCTGCGCAGTCTTCCGAAGCGCATAGCTAGGTATCGGCTCACCGTCGCTTTACGGATTTAGTCAACCGATGCACTGTCCGATGCATATTCATCCGACCCAAGTCCACGGGCAGCGCTGTGGTCAATTTTAGGCCGGAGTAAATGTCCGTTGCGTGACTGGCGGGCGGGCTGGTCCGCTAGTGATTAGAATCGGGTAGGTGCGATTGGTAAGGAGAAAAGTAGTCACGCGACTCCAACCAAGGTAAACTCTGCGCTTTGACGCATAATATCAGAAGGACTTGGGCGTTTTATCTGGTTGCTGCCTGAGATGAGATATTCGCAGCGATGACTATGCTTATGTGGGGGGGTTGGTATTCCGATTTTATTGAACTCTGTGTCTTGCTCTTGGAGTGGATCTGGCGGACAAATGGCAAGAGAGGTATTGTGGTGACTACGCGGGAATTCGCTCCAAAAGCACGGGTTGGAGTGTCTTCAAGAAAAGAGTCAGACAGATTTTAATTCTCAACCAGATTTGAGGGCGGTTCTTAGGCTGGTCGCGCTGAACAGGAAAGTGCGAGGTAAAAGTATATAAGTGAGCTGAACGCACTTTCTTTTGCTCCCATCGACTTCATCGACCGCGACTACTCATACGGCTCTAGTGACTTCAGAAGACTACAAGCCCGTTAGTGACAACCAAAGCAGCAGTAAGACGCCTACCTCTACTACAACATTGACACAACACCTTTCTGACCCACCTTGTAGCCTCCGCACTCCGCCAACACCCCAACCATCCCAACTGAAACCCAGTCTTGTAGACTCCACATCCCACCAACACCTCAGGCATCTTGACTGAAACACAGTCTTGTAGCCTCCACACCCCATCAACACCTCAACCATCTAGACTGAGCCCCAGTCTTATCGTCTCCCCGGTTCAAGATGTCAAACTTCGGCGAAAACATGGCGGTAATCTCCACTCCCAGCGCCAACATGGGGGTAATGCACACCCCAACGACGCCTATGGGGCCGCCATGTTACCCAGACAACCACACCGGCTTTACGGTGGAGCAGCAGAACGAGTTCAGCGAGCGTCTGAACAAACAGGGGCTGCTCCCTGACAAGATCGAGGGCATTGAGGTACCACGGCCATTTGCCCTTCTATGGCGACCTGTCACGAGAGCAAGAGAATTGCAACCAGGATACAATTCGAGGACCGATCTTGTGTATCTCCTCTCGCGCTTCCCGCCTGATCCGTGGCGCCCTATCTTCGAGGAATTGAGCCAGAAGTGGCAGCGTCAGGACGAAGCCGCCTACTGGGCCCACCAGCAGGCGCAGACGCATGAGCAGCAGCTAGCGGCGGGTTGGCAACAGGTGCCATACGCTCATCCACAGCAGGATGAGATGGGTGGCCAGAGCGCGCAGATGCACGCTCAATACTGTGAGGCCAGGAACCTGGAGGAGAGACTTGCTGCTGCGCCTCGAGCAGCGAAGCGACGGCGCCAGAATGAGAGGGCGATGGAGAGGGTCGACGGCGGTGGTGTCGATATGTTGGGCCGGAACAATGAGTCCAGGCTTGAAGAGACTTTGCCGCCCGACGCAAACATCGATCCAGCTTTGCTCGACATGGGATACGGACGGTAATGGACTGTGTTTGCTGAGTGATCTTGGAGCGTCGCATCACACCGCGAGCCTTCGGAGTTGAGCAGCGATCCGGTATCTGGCTTGGACTACCGCGACCCTAGAGAGCGAAGAAAGTGGACAAAAAAGACGCGGTCGATAAGACTGGCTGAGCTGGGGAGATAGAACCACGCGTACGGAAGGTTGCGCGAGAGTACTGTTTTATTACGATGGTATCCTGCATTTCAGTTGCATACATACTCTTCATAGAATTACACCCTTGACAAACCATCCCTTTGCTGCCCACCCGACGCGCAACATCGCACATCCTCATCGCAACACCACACGCGTTGAAACATGGAGATCGTGACGTGAAATTACTGACGTCGAATAGGCGCAGCGCGGTGGTCCGTTCTTAGTGCGATGACGATTTACGGGGGCACTGCCCGCTAGGTGGCAACCTGCAGCGTGATCACCGAGTGCAATTCCGCGCGATGCCGATGCGATCGGACGATACCAATGTCCGGATGTGCGGGCGTGTATATCGTGTATATCGTCGTTGGAAGTGCGAGAGCGATGAAGACGCAAAAAGTGGTGAATCGTGATAATCAAATCCGAAATTGCGATCGTGTGCGACAATGCACGTCACAACGTCATGACAGGCTCGAGGTCTGGAATCCGCTTGCACGCCAACACGTGATAGCGCGCTTGGCGTTGAGGCGGAGCGCTCGGACAGCGGAATTAGCGATGAAGCCTCTTGGAGCTGGTGCCAACCTCTCCAGACCCGCGTCCCCTTTGCCTCCAAACCTCCATCGTCCAGAACCCCAATGTCTCGCATTCAATGGTGTCCTCGCAAAATGAGGTGGGTATCGTTACCTACCCGGCTACTGTCAACATAGCGACACTTGTCATCTTCTTCCTCTACCTCCTCGTCTCTATCTGGCTCATCATCCGCCAGGGCCTGGGCCACAGCTCGCCATGGATCTGGCTCACCCTGCTGTCCATATGTCGCCTCACGCAGGTGTCGCTCGATTTGGCAGCCACGACCAAGTTTCCGAAATTTTCAGCGCCGAACACGACCCTGGAAAGCGGTGTTGCCATCCTCACCACCATGGGGCTCACGCCGTTGTTTATGGCCACCAGTAGCTTGCTCAACACGACCACGCGCCCCAAGGGCCGACGCATGCAATGGATCCTGCTCATGGTTCACATCCCGCTCATCATCTCCTTCATTCTTATCGTGGCGGGCGGCATCGATCCGGATTCTCGAGACGGACCCACTTTTGCAGCGACGGAAGCCACTAAAGCCGGTGTTTCGCTCTACTTGGCGTGTTTCCTCGTTCTCATCTGGTCTACCACGGTCATCTCAGCGCGTCTCTACCTTGCCGACAGGGACGAGGTGCGGATTCTGACCACGGTCGTTATGAGTCTGCCGTTCTTCGTCGTCGATGTCGTCTACATGATGTGCTTCGCGTTTGAACGATGGCGTGCCAACGAAGGTTCCGATGGTTGGAAGAGCATGCGCTTCAACGTCATCAGTGGTAATGTGACTTTGCAATTATGCATGTGAGTATCACCATTTTCAAGTTATATCTGTCTCATCTGCTAACGCCTGCAAGGCAAGTTATCATGGAATGGATCATTGTTGGGCTGTACCTTGCCCTAGGTCTAGAATTGCCTAGCAAAGCTGTGAGATTGCGAAGGCAGATCGAAGACCAAATGGACCAAGCTAGGAACATTGACGTCGACGCATGGCAAGAGACGGTGTTGTGGAAGCTGCATGACAGTGTATCACGGCTCGTTGCTGCGATGATCATGCCAGCTCTACAGTTCGCACATTGGATGCTTGGAAAGATATTGCGATCCGGACAGCAGAATACGCCTTGAGGTGGGCAAGAATCATTGCTGATGAACATCGACATTACGATACGCCTGCTTCTCAGAGCATGACTTCGACTGGCCTGTGACGTCACGAACGACAGTCGCCGCCGGAAACTTCCCACGAAGTGCACACCCGGCTTCTATCCCAAGACCACGACGGCATCCCGCTACAAACCCCGTTGCATCAGCCATTGCGTCTGTCAATAAGGCCCATTGAGTTTGTTCGCTCTGCCTTTGGTCGTGGCAAATTGCATCGAGGTTCGGCTATCGCGGCTCGCAAGCAGCACCCCTGTGCCCACAATTCGCGATGCGAAACACCAAAGTCCGCCACCACGCGAACGCGCTCTTTGTTCCCCGTTCCGAGTCGCGTTGGATTCTTACGACGGACCGGCATATTGCCAACTGTGAAGAAAGGAAAGCAACATATTAGAGGAAGCGCTACAAAAGACGGCAGCGAAAGAAGGTGGCGGCGTGACGGCTGAGAAGTATACATAGATTACAGCTCATCATCAACGCAATGCATACAAACACCTTCCCGCGACAGCTTATTGTTCCTTTCGAGATCGTTGACAGACCTATGCACACGACATCGCGAGAAGTCACGTCTATGCCATGCGTCTTTAGGGGTGGCTAAATGTCGTGTCGCATACACATCATTAAATCGTAACTACCAGACAGTTCGTGGGACGATGTATACTTTTACCCGAAATAATGTTTCGTGTCGCACGGCACAGATCTTAGCCACCCCAAGTGGCGCCCCCCCCCCCCACCGCTCCGCAAAGGCTCGAGCCTTACCCGATATACTCGCCTCATTTGCGCTAATCAGTATATAAATCCATCCAGCGACTCTACTGTCTGTCTTCATTACCTCACACAACTCCTGTCTTTACCAAAAGTGACGTGCTGTGTGCTGATGTTCGGCTCCTGGCTGTTGAAACAAATTCAAGTTGTACTCATGGGATTGTGCGAGAATTTTTTTGATCAAGCAACAGTCCAAGAACGTGTCTCAAAAATCGCGAGTACTGATAGCTTCATCCGTGGAGCCGGAGTTCAAATAAAGACTCTTTTCTGCCATGTGGCTGTGTGCGTCATCCTTGGCTTTGCTCTAAAGACTTCTTCGTCTGTCTTTTTCCCTTACTCTTACACCAAAATGCCGAGATCTTCACTCCAAAATTCAGACATCTCTCAATTATGTGTTCTCCTCCCCGTTCAGTCGGTTACTTAAAACGCGGAGCACGCCCCGTTACGAAATCGAAAAGCGCGTGTGATACACACCTTACGACTTTGCTGGATCAACCCCACGGTCCTACATCAAACTTTACCGATGGCACTACGATGTGGCTCCCGAAGTCTGTTCTCTTTCATTTTACATGATGAACAAAAAATTTCATGTCTAGAAACCTTGAGAAGACATTTAAAGATTCGACACGGCTAGATCCATGTTTAAAGCGTAGCGAAACCTCAAAATCACGACAAAGCAGAAGGATGTCATTTTGCGCAGAGACACGCGATACACGCGATAAAAGCATAGATGCTAATCGATGATGGCAATGTAGCCTTGCCTGTCCTGGCGCTGCTGTGCGATATAAAGTCAACTCCTGGCTCGACTTCTATTTCCTTACTTCTATTACGCACATTTGCTGTTTTTTTCTAAACGCAGTTACTATTAACCGATGTAGTGTGCCTGTTTTTCTCGCTTTCCGAATGCTCACAATGCACTAGTCATGTGCCGGGCTGCCTTTTCTCGCCTTTAAAATTTATAGATCATCGAACCATGTTGCTTTCTAGTGTTTAACGACTACGAAAGGGCTTCCAGGCACTCTACACGAGTCGAGGATACCCCATTACCCTCATGAAGTATGTTGTGATCGTGGAACGGCTCTGCGGATATATCAAGATAATAAAGACTAAGATTTGCACATTAAAAGCCCTCCGACCCGCGATCGTTCCTCCATCAGCAATTTGCCCAGTCAAAACCAAAAACATGTTGCTCTCGCTGCCATGGAGCTCGTAAAGGACTGAGATTTCATCCTGTGATGTTCCATCACTGCTCAAGCGATTTAAAAGGTGACAGCTTCACGTCATGTTTTCGTCGCGTGTGGACTCGCGAAATTCTGAGCCAAAGCATGCAACATTACTATGACATCTCTGCGCATTGATTCGAGCGCGATTATGTATGTTGAACTTTGCAAATTGCATGCAACAGAAATGATGAAGTTTAGTAGACTATGTAGCTGTCTAAGTGGTACTTGAACGGATAAGGCAGGTAGAAGCGGTCTTGGCAAGGACGTCATTCCGATGGTCGGGATTTGGGTCAGGCTACCCGCGATAAGATCGGAACAAGACATCGGCACCTGCATTAGCAAGCATCGTGACTACATGCGAACATGAACTTTCCGCGTCAATTGCAGTCGCGATAACTACCCGCGGTGATGTATGACAAGCCATTGAGTTGAGGGGATGTATAAATGGCATTTCCGATGAGTTGGTAAATGTCCGCAGGCCGCACCTTCCGTACACAGACTGAGCCTTATCCAGAATGGTACACTTCACACGCATCGCATTTGCAGCGCTCTGCCACATGGTGGCGGGACAAAACATGCCTTTCGACTCCCGAGAAGCGACCATCGACTCAGTACACCATGCGCTCTATTCCGGACTCTCAACATGTCGCGAAGTGGTGTCTTCTTTCCTCTCGAATATCGAAGCCAACAACAACCGAACGAACGCAATCATTACATTGAACCCCAATGCCTTGGATATCGCCGACGAGCTGGACGAGCAGCTTTCGGCTGGGAATGCTACGGGACCTCTGTTTTGCGTCCCAATATTGCTCAAAGACAATTACGACACAGCAGACATGCCAACCACTGGTGGAAACTTGGCTTTGGCGCATTCGCAGCCGACAGAGGATGCTCCAAGCGTGGCTGCTTTCAAGAAGGCAGGAGCCATCATCTTAGGCAAGGCCAACCTGCATGAGCTAGCTTTGGAAGGCATCAGCGTATCTTCTTTAGGTGGCCAGACAATTAACCCGTATGACTCCACCCGAACACCTGGCGGAAGTTCGGGTGGGACTGGTGCTGCGGTCGCCTCGTCCTTCTGCGTATTTGGTACCGGGACAGATACAGTGAACTCACTCCGCAGCCCGGCGTCAGCAAACTCTCTATGTAGCATCCGGCCTACGCGTGGACTCATCACTCGGACCGGCATCATCCCAATATCGACCACACACGATGTCATTGGACCCATCGCACGAACCATCAAAGACGTCGCAACAGCTCTGACTGTCATGGCTACAACAGGCTACGATGCAGCCGACAACGACACTGCACTCGTCCCAAGCCCTATTCGCGGCATCGACTACACTTCCAAGCTTTCCAGCACTTCACTCAAAGGTCTACGTATCGGCGTACTGAACGGCTTCTTCAACCGCACAGACTCCCCCGAAGTCACACCAGTCAACAATGCCATGGACTCTGTCATGTCGCGTCTCACTGCAGAAGACGTGACACTGGTCCCCATCAACGAGACAATCTACAATGCAACCGCCATCCAAACTGCCTACGACGTTCAACGCTTCGAATACCGCGAGCTCATGGACCAGTACCTGGAACGTCCTTCCCTTCAAGGCGAGCATCCCAGTACACTGAACGAACTATATTCTCGCAAAGCCGTCAATGAATCTGGTGGGGAGTTCCTTGTCATCCCCTCTCAATACGAATACGTCAACACCGCTCTCGTATCTTCCACGGGCAATGCTACATACAACGATCGTCAAGCCGGGATCCGCAATCTCAGGCTCGCTCTTCTCAACACATTCACGTCGAATAACCTTGACGCGATCATCTACCCCGAGCAGAAGAACCTCGTTGTTAAGATTGGTTCGCCGTCACAATCTGGACGTAATGGTATCTTGGCCGCATTGACAGGTACGCCCGTTGTCACCGTGCCAGCGGGCTTCTCCGACTCGAGTGAAGAGGCGCCAATTGGCGTACCGATCGGCATGGAGATTTTGGGGAGGCCATGGGAAGATGAGAAGCTGTTGGGGCTTGGGTATGCGGTGGAGCAGTTGTTGAAGGTGAGGAGGAGTCCTGTTTGGGCGAGAGAAATGGTAGAGGGAAAGAAGTATGAGAGTGTACCGGTTGTGAAGCCGGATACGGTGAATATTCCGGAAGTGTATCCACTAGGGACGCTGGGATAGAGTTGAAGACGATAAGGGCGTCGGAGACGCCTATTGTCATCATTTTGTGAGATGCGTTCGGCACAATGTTAATGCACGATACTGCTATTCAGCTTGAGTCACGAGAATACCACAGCGATGCATCATAGCAGCTGGTCTGTCCGACCTTTGCGGCTTTCCTGAAGCAACCATGCAAGACCTCGTAGCCTACCTTCTCGTCGGCTCTGCGTCGGTCGAGAAAGCTTCTCCAGCTCCATCGCCCAACGTAAAGTCGCGACACCGGCTGCAAGCTCCCTTCTTTTTGCTCGCCACTGTAGAGACCGGGGACGGTGGAGACTGCTGAGGCGTTTCGAAAGGTATGAGGCACGTTGCGACAGAGACCCGGGCCCGAGCGGCGTTTAGTTCGATGTCGCAATGGAAAAGCACCGTAGCCGATGCGTACCAATGTGACCTAAACTCTATGCTTAGGACATGGCTTCGTTCAGACTGCCGCAATCGTCAGCGCCTCAGTTCGTATGTGTATCAGGATTTGCAAAGAAAGTGACGCACCAATGCTGCGTCGTGGCTGTGCACCTAATAGCTGCGGTTGTATAGCAAAAGATGCTGCATCGCTGCCGACGACCGCCGCACGTGAAAGCCCAAATGTGTTCATTCGGATGTCGACCGGTGTTGTGAGACGCGCCTCGGTTGGCCGGCATCATGGAGGTTTGCCAAGACCGTGACTAATGCGCGGGCCTAGCCGCTGGTGGCCGTCCTGTGCGCCTCAGAACCACACTCCAACCTCACAACAACCCCGCCGCGGCCACCAGTTCCACCCCAGTCGCGC